CAGTGTGTGGAGGACACGGGGTCCAGTTTTATGTAATGCACCTGTTCTAAGCACACAACTTTGAGAAAAAAATGAGCATTTCAAAAATCTGTCTTTGTTTGTGACAAGGTTTAGCTAGGAGAACGTGGAAATGCCGGTCTCTCTGGTGAGATGAATGGTTAGAGATGGACAGGTGACAGCTCCTAAAAACATCTGAGGCACCTGCCACTCAGGGCTTTGTTGTAACTAAGCTCCTGGAGGATGGGAGGGCGGAGGGAGGTGAACGGGCCCGTCTTGCTGCATCTGTCTCACGCGACCCCAAGGCTGCGCAGCAGAAATCCACAGAGGCCCCGCAGTGCCTGACACACGTGTCTGCTTGCTTCCTTGTGAAAGGATTTTCTGCTCTGAGTTGACTCTATTCCAGAGCATGCTGCTTCCGTGCCGTGTCCTCTGACCACCCTTTATGCTGTTGTATTTCCCACCCTTATTCTCTGGCTTAAAACGCTCAGTTAATAGACCGACTCCAGTTTGCATTCAAGACTCTCTGGCCCCGCCCTGTCTTCCCTGGCCCCCCAGGTCACCTCTGTCTCTGTTGCTTCCTCCTGGGGGGAGCCCTCAGCCTACGACTGGTGGCAGCCCCTCCTTGGTGGGCAGCTCAGAGGAGGGAGCTCGGCACTGTCTCCAGGGCGCCCGGAGAAGGGGTCCGTGCTGGCTGCTCACCGACCTGCGTACGGCGCGTGCCCAGAGCATTTAGCAGCTTGACTTCATATTGCGTCATGGTGACCCCTCCCAGCTGGGTCTGGACACCCCCAAGAGATGCCACGTTTATAAGCCACGTGGTTCATCTTTATGAAATGACTGAACAGAACACGGGTGTGCAGGTCTCTGCATCAGACACACATGCAGCCGGGACACGGCGAGCCCCTCGAAGGGCCAGGCCTGGGGCTTTCCATCCTTTATTCACACGGCGATGCCACTTGTGAGTCTGAATAAGGCTCCCATGGGCTTTGTTCTGTTTGTCCCATTGCACTCGGCCACTTACGCAAAGAGCCAGGGCGAGTTCCTGTCAGCGCTGGAAGGAACGGGAATTCAAGTGACAGAAAATCTAAGTTCCTCAACCCAGCCTTCAATTTTCGAATTCAAAAACATTCCTGTTGTAAGAGGAACACGGTCTCTGTAGAAGAAATATAGATTTCTGCTTCTAATGATGCCTCTAGTGATCCTTCTGCGGAAGACAGGTACAGATTCTTTAGGAAATATTAAAGAACACTTTGAAACGCTGGTGCTATTCATAAAATTCATAATCTGACGCTTAATTCCCTTTTCTCATTTAATTATAGTTATAATAGTGCAGTTAAGAAAGGAAAGAAACATTTTAGGAAGTGAAATCAAGACATAATAGATGCTCAAATGTAGAAGGTGCCTGAGGCCGACGCAGTGCATGGAGCCCTCAGGCCTCCTGCCAGCGGGAGCTCCAGACCCAGGGCCTCGGGGCAGCGGCGGTGGGCTGGGGAGTCGGGGAGGGTCTTCCAGCTCCAGTCTCAAGCTCACACCGGCCCCGCTGGTGAAGGTGCCCAGGTAAGCGCCCAATCCCGTCTAGAAGGCTTCTCTTCCTCACTGTAACATGCTCCAAGCAGGTGGGGACAGAAGATTTAGAAGCGAGAACTGGGCTTCTATTTTTGTTTGCAGATAAAAGTCAAAGTTACATTGCAGGAAATTTGATTTTAAGCGTTAGAAGCATTGATATTTGCATCATGTATCCATACTTGCTACCTCTCTGATTTCTGTGTTATTTAATCCCTTGAAACTTCAGTCTTTTCGTCCATAAAAATGGGGATAATAAATTCCCGCCTTTCAGACTCATTGCCAAGATTAAATAAGATAAAGTGGGCACATCAACGAGCTCACAGCCATTGCGCAGCAAATTTGGGGTCCTTTCTATCCTCCACATCATTCAGAGCATCGTTTTCTGGGTGGACCCACCAAAACTACACACAACACCTCCCTCTATAAAAAGTGTATAAAACTTGCCTGCATTGGGAGCTGGATCAAATGATTAGCACTGGAGTAAAATGAAGCTGTGGACAAACGCTGCCCTCAGTCCTCCACACTAAGGCCGGGGGCCAGGCCCACCGCCAGCAGGTCTGGCCTTAGGACGCCATCGCCTTCACTGACCCCTGATCCCATGGCCACAAAGTGACGTGATGGCAGTGCCCTTTCACGGACTTCCCATGAGATCACGCGTGTGCAACTGCTCAGACTACGGCAGCATCAGGAGCGGGGGGAGGGCTTGTTCAAAAGCCGGTTCCACGCCCCCCGCCCCGCCCAGTGGCTCTGATGTAGCGGGTTGGTGGGCCAGACAGCACGCCTTTCTAACTGAGCTGGGGGTGTCGACACTGCTGGCCAGGACCACCAAAGAAGGCATGTGTGCGGTGTTCAACGCAGGCCAGGGCCCAGAGGTGCAGGTGGTGCCCACCTCTCTGACACTTTTACCACCACTGTTACTGCTACTTGAGGTCTTTTTCGAATCATAAAATCTGTTGGAGAAAAGATCCCATGTCTCCTTCCAGGTGTCCCTTGACCTGGGGACCCACGTGTGTGCTGACAATTCCGATTTCCTGCGTCTACAGTCAGGCTGAATAGGCACGAACAGAAGGCCTGGCAGGCTCAAGGCTGGGCTGAAGCACCATGTGCCAGGGCCTGCCAGCCTCCTGGGCCTGCAGTGCAGTCCAGAACCATGCTGACCCTGAAGGAACCCGTGTGCCGGGGTCTCAGCCGCGAGTTCCCGTGGAGATGTGTCCACCGAGAGGGTCCACGCTCACAGCACGAGAAAAAGAGGGGCTGAGAGCCGGGGACCCCAGAGCCCCTTCTCTTATTCCAACAGCAAAGGCAACCCCGCAGGCCTCAAAATGCTGGCTCTTCACCCCTGAGAATGTGACCAGCGGCCTCCACGGAGACTGTTTCATTTGCTGTTAACAGATGATCAGAATCCTTTCCCATCAAAGGTATTGAACATCCTGACTCATCAGGCTCGAGTCTAGGAGGTTCTCAAGGTGTGAAGGGTAACGTTACTTTCTGAGAAGAAGGAACTCATGCCAGTCTCCTCCACTGTGGCTGGATTTCTATTATATTTACCATCTTTTAGACAAGGATGCTGTGCACGGCTTGCCCTGCCCCAGAGACAGGCCTCCCCCAGGGTACGTGGAGAAGCCAAGACCAGGGATGAGTTCTGCATCCCGGCACTTAGACAACCTTTCCTGGGCGCCCCCCACCCCCAGCCCCTACTTATCCAGGGCTCACCTGGCCTCTGCCGGCAGGTGACAAGTGACACCAATGTCCACTTGCATCTCTCTGAACAGGGAGCATCTGCCCTGTGGAATCCATGGTAAAAATATTAGTCCCGTTCTACAACTTGGCAGTCAGAACACAGCTCTGGCTTGGAGGGCAGCCCCTGGGGGTGATGGGGTTTGTCAGTAGGCCAGGCTGGGAGGCTGGGAGTGGGCCGCCCCCTTCACCCCTCGACGTGTCAAGACTGGGATGCAGGGGGAGGCTGATGTTACACTTGGGCCCTGGTTCTCTGGGCTCTGTCCTCCTGAGCTTCCTTCTCCTGGAGAAACCCTCTTGCCTGTTTGCAGCGCGTTAACCCAGGCTCAGGGCGCAGCTGACACGGGACGCTGGGCTCTGGGCCTGGGGTCTTCTGGGGACACCATCTGCACATCGAGGGCATCTGCCCATGTGCTTTTGTCTGGGTCCCGCTGTGCATCCCAATCCTTGGTGCACGCAGCGACCACGGCCACTGCTGGGGTCTGGGAGATCCCGGCCTCGCTCCACCCACAGCTGCTCAGGCCCCTGACAGCCTGGAGTCTTGCCCTGCAGCCTCGGCTTGTGCCCCCAGAGCAGAGGCCTCTGGCATGTATGGGACAAGGTCACAAGAGAGAAGCTCAGACAGATCCTCCAGGTCAAAGCTGGACGTGAAACAGCCACCTGACCCAACCCCAGCGGTGCAGGACGGTCCTCATCACCCCTCCCCGTACCCGTCCATCCTCCAGAGACAGGACCTCAAGCAGCGGCCCCGCCATGTCCCCCTGGAAGGACCTCTGGGGCCTCTCAGTGTCCCTGTAAAGAGGTGCCTGCCCTCAGGGGGCCACCAGTGGGTCCTATTCTCCCCCTGCTCCTCGTGGGGTCAGGAAAAGGGGGGCAGGGGGCACAGGAACACGCATAAAAGGACTCTCCACTCACCCAACAAACCGAATCAGTACAGACAACGGCAAGAAGCAGTGAGAGGCCAGGGGTCTGTTCTCAAGCCCAGAGGAATCAGTGCTTCAAGCGTGAGACCTGGCCGGTAGGCCCGAGAGCCCTGGACGCTGGAGAGGGAGCCCGGTGCCCTGAGGATGCGGTGGGCTCTGGGGCCAGCGGAAGGGGCTGCCTTTATCTCCCGTCTGGTGCGGATGACGGGTGATGCTGAAACTCATGCTTTAATTGGCAAGTACTCATCTTCCTTTGATTAATAAAAACGGGAATGTAGATCATTTCTGAATGAAGGCTCCCCATTTGCTAGAGGAAGTCTTTCAAAACCCGGGCTCCGTGAAAGCACATAGAGGACGTTTGATGTGAGAAAGGGCTGGGAATCGGCCCTCTTAAAGCACGGAGGGCACGGTTACCCACTAAGACAGGGCGTTTCCTCCAGAACCTTAGTTTGGGATAAGCACACAGGTGCTGCAAGACTGGACTCTATTTTACGTGTGAGCCTTTCACAAAGAAAACCAAACCCGCTTTGCCTCCGTTCCCAGTATGTACCAAGTCTGCGTCCAACACGGGGTCAGTCCCGCTGGCGTGGAGGGCGGGCTCCCAACCCGCTGCTTTCCCAGTGGCCGCTGTCAGAGGATGTGTCCCGGGCCTGATGGGGTGAGGCTGGGCCCCCCCTGCCCGGTCCCCCCAGATGGCCCTCCGCCCCCGAGCAGGCTCTCCTCGACGGCCTGGGTGCACCAGCCACGTGCGCGTGATCCATGGGGAGGCCTTACCTCGTGGGATAGGTAGAAGGCGGCGATGCCCAGGGGCCAGAAGCAGCAGAGCATGGAGAAGACGCTAAGGCCCAGGTGGTCCCGCGGGGGCATCACGAGGAAGTTGTCCTCGCTCTCTGTGTCACTGGAGTAGTCGCTCTGCTGGGAGAGATGGGGATGGAGAGCGAGGTTACCAGGGGTCTCTCCATCATCCCCCGAAGTGGGGCTCAGGCCTGGCAAGCCCTCCTGGCAAGCCCTCCTGTGTGTCCCCCACAGGAAGAGAAAAACCCCAAGGATGGGCTCTGGGTTGTTCCATGGGAGATTGAACCTCACAGACCCGCGGATCTCTGGGATGGGGTGTGGACAGCTGGGTGAAGGTTTGACCATCGGAGGACGGGGCTGGGTGGGAAGCGCACAGGCAGAGTTGGAGTCCACTATTTGTTCCAAGACTTCAAGCTGGTTTCAGGTTAAGGCAGGGCAGGTGTCGGGGCCAGGACCTGCCCTGAACCCCCTTCTTGCCTTAGACTCTGATCTGAGTAAGGACGTCACTGGGCCTGGTCTCAAGCCCGGGTGTCCCTCCTGTTTTGGTTAATCAAACACATGTAAAACTGCCAATCAGAGCCTCTACTCAGCCTGTGCTGGAAGCTTCCTGCTGGACTGTTTGTGTCTCATCTGAGAGAAAACAGGTGAATTTGGAGGGGCTCACCCCAAGTGCAAACAGGGACTTTCTCTAGGGGCCCAGGATGGAAGTGGGTGATGCACTGTCCACACAGTACCCAGCTGCCCTCCACATGTGCGCACACACACACAAACACACACACAGACACACACACAGATACACACACATGGACACAGAGACACACACACAGACACACACACACGGACACAGAGACACACACACAGATACACACACATGGACAGACACACACAGATACACACACACAGACACAGGTACACACACAGATACACAAACACACACAGATACACGGACACAAACACACAGAGACACACACAGATACAGACACACACACATGGACACACAATCACACTCAGACACACCCACAGACTCACACACATACACACAGACACACACGTACACACAGAGACACACACAAACACACACAGACACAAACACACACAGACACAAATACACACACAGACACACACACATAGACACACAAACACACACAGACACACACACACACAGACACATGCATGCACCCCATGGGTCCCAAGCTCCCAGGCATCCCTTCCCAGTGAGGACCAGCTCCTTCCTGCAGGGCAGGCTCTTGCCCTGGTTGGTCACCGTCCCTGGGGTCATCTTTCCAGGACCCTGCAGCCTCCCCTCTGCTGGGCCAGGTCTGCGGAATTCCTGTCTTTCCTCTGCAGCATCACCTCTCAAACAATAAAGGGACAGGGAAAGGCCCATCCTCACTGCTGCAGAGAGGGAACGAGCAGCCTTCAGGGAGGCATCTCGCTCGGTGGGATCTGGGGACTGAGGGCTGAGGGGCAGACGCACATCTGCCGGCCCACAGGGAGGCCAGAACCTTCAATCCAGCTGAAGGAGGCCAGGCAGGGTCACCAGGACGAGCTGCCCAGGAGGCCCACGGTGTCCACTCTGGGAGCACAGTGCTCGGGGCCTCAGGCTGGGCTGGAACGGCCGAGCTGCCCTGATGGCCCTCTGCACGGGGTCTGGGGAGGGGACCCTGAAGTGACAGTTGCAGGGCGGGATCCGAGGCCCCTGAGAGACACGGGGGACGGGGTCGAAGGACAGACCCCCCCAGCGGATGTGCGTCATTCGACGGGTCTGGATGCACCCAAGCGACAGCTCTGTCTGTGGGTACTTGTTCAGGCTTTTGGCTTCTGTGGAGTTTTTTGGTTTTGTTTTAGTTTACTAAGGGTTTAAATACCTGGGCTGGCTGGAATCTTACTCCAAATCTGGAAATAGCTGCTGTGGCTATTTCTCTTGTTATTTCTATTTTACAAAGGACACTGCTGGGATCTGGGCGGTTACAGTGTCCCCAAACTACAGAACCGTCTGGCCAGTGGCCGCTTACTCCAGACTTCTGTGCTGTCAGCTGTCTGGACAGCAGCGTCTGGCCACCAATCAATCCCACTGCCCTTAGTTGTTTCTTGCCTAAAGCTGGGGTGTCCTCTCTGTACCCCTTGGCCCTGGGATTTTGACTCGACTGGTCTGTTGGTGGCCAGTGGCCAGAGTGGTCAGTGGAAAGTTCTCCAATCAGTGAGCAGTGTGGTGTGAGCTGAGGCCACAAACCACACAGGGCTGCACGGGCGTCGACCCCCATCTTTGGAAACAGCTTCAAATGATACCACCATGCCTGTGAAGCAAAGGTTCCCCCCCCCCCCAAGCCTTCTGCCTAAAGCTGGGGTGTCCTCTCTGTACCCCTTGGCCCTGGGATTTTGACTCGACTGGTCTGTTGGTGGCCAGTGGCCAGAGTGGTCAGTGGAAAGTTCTCCAATCAGTGAGCAGTGTGGTGTGAGCTGAGGCCACAAACCACACAGGGCTGCACGGGCGTCGACCCCCATCTTTGGAAACAGCTTCAAATGATACCACCATGCCTGTGAAGCAAAGGTTCCCCCCCCCCCCAAGTCTTCACAGATTTTTCTTTAGAGCATAAGGGAGCCACATCTGTAAACTGCAAAGTTGTGGCTACACGGCTCCAAAATAACTAGTCAATTTTCATTAAAATAGGTTTTTAAAAATTCAGACAAATGACAGGGCAGACAAAAACAGCCCAGCTCTCTGTACCATCTCTCTCCCATCCACGGCAGTGCTGTGGGTACAAGTGGCCATGGGCATTGCACCACCAGATAGGAGAGGAGGACCCTGGGGGCGGGGGGCGACGGAGACGCCATCAAACCAAGTAGAGAAAACACACCACGCACAGCAGCTGTTTCTGAAAAGCCTCTTCATGGGGCATTAGCTTAGAATATCTGCAAGGCAGGGTGGACGCTTCCAGAGACGTTCACAGTTCACGTGGTTGAAGGAACAGATGCTGCGAGGGGGCAGAGCAGTACAGGGGCTGCTGTCCTCCTCCCCCAGCCCACCACTGCCCACACAGTCCGCCCTTGTCCATGACCTCCACGCAGGGAGCTGGCTCCCTGTCCCCTGGGGTTTCCTCCTCGGGAAGATTGAATAGGATAATCATAGCACCAGGTGGGACGCACATCAGCCCTGTGAGCACAGCCCCGAGGGCGAAGGGGTGCAGGGGTTTGGCCTTGTCCCTCGTCTCTCTCAAGGTCTCACTGTCCCCTCGCCACTGCCCGGCTCCCTGGAGCCCCACTCCCTCCTCATCCCCTGGCCTTCTCTGCTGGCTAATTCTGGGGAGCATCTCTGCGTGGCCTGGGTGGGGGCGGTGGGTGGAGACTAGGATGGACCCGGGATCGGGATGCCCTGTGGAGCCTGCACGGTGTGTTCCCGACAACACGGCTTCAGAAATGCAGAATCACAGAGGACTCTAGGTGGTCATGGAAAATGATGACGTAGATGTTTATTCATTGCCCTGGAAAGATGCTTGTAATAACCGAGGGAAAAACCATAGAAAATGGAAGAAGTCGTATTTCCTCCAGAAAGTCAGAAATTAAGATGCTTCTGGATGGCGGGCATATCAGTGCTTTTTGTTTTTTTTCTTTTTGCATTTCTGGGGTATAGTCTTTCTACAATAAGCAAGGTTATTGGGCAATGAAACTCACCAAGACACAGACGTGCTGACTGGTGGGGGGTCCCGCCGCCCTCCGTCCTCCCGTGGAGTGGGATCCCTCAGGGCTTCCCTGAGGCCCTGCTTGGAGACATTGCGTCGGGGGCCCAAGGAGCAGCTGGCGGAGCAGGATGGGAACTCAGCACAGCACCCAGGCTCCCTGAGATGCAGGTCAGACCCACCAGGTCACTGAGAGTCAAGATCAGAGGCCTCAGCCCACGGAGCCCACGTCTGTGTTGACGAGCAAGGCACCACCGCCCCATGGAGCTACTTGAATTACCCAACTCAAAGATGCCCGACGTAGTTCCTCAGCCACCCTACCACCTGCCAGGGCCTCAGGTGGCACAGGTGGCCAGTGTCCATCACACGGGACAGCACACAGACTGCACATAGCAGGTACCAACAGCACACGTGTTGAATGCATGAAGAATTCCCAAGTGCCCTTAGCCGACATGGACAGCACCTGAGAAGCAGCCAGGCTCCAGGGTTTGCCCAGAGCGCATGGGAGGAACCGGGCCCTCAGTCCACGTGGGCAGTCAGCCCCGCTGCCCCAGGCTCCTCTCCTTCCCGTGAGCCTTAGGGTCCTAACCGTCCACTCAGGTGGGACCACAGTGGGAGGATGGTGACTCGGTCAGGTTCAAGGCTGTCTCACCCAGGGCAGCTGATGGACAGAACCGAGGACAAAGGCAGGTGGATGCAGCCCCCCATCGGTCACAGGCCCTCCAGATATTCTGGGGGTGCAACATCCCGTCCACGTCGGAGGAGCGAGGAGTGTGGGTGAGCGCGGCTGACACCTGGAGCTTCCACAGCCACGCACGGAAGTGCCTCTCCTGACCACTGTGTGGGTTGTGAGCCCTGAAGTCCTTGCAGGGAGGGCGCTGGGCCATACTCCCTCACCTGCACTGTCGGGGTAGCCCCACTGGTCCACTTGTGTCCACTTGGGGGTCTTCTGTGGGCAGGTGAGCTATGCAAGACCAGATCCCTCAGCACTTGGCAGAATCCTCTGACCCAGGCTCCCCTGGCACCTCAGGCCCACTGGCCTCTCCTTTATCCGGAATCAGATCAATCAAAACCAGACTCTGCTGGGGACCAGCTCTGTGTATTTCACACAGGGTCATAGATGCAAAGAAGTGCAGGGGTCCGGGGGCTCAACAGCATGGAACCTGGGGGACATATTTAAATATCTAAACACGCTCTGCCCTAAATTCTACCGGGGAGGCTGTTACTCAACTTTCCTGAATTAATTTAAACACCGTTTTCTCACCAGCTATGGTCTTCAATCCAATGGTTGAGTTACGATGACAGGCTCCCTCTAAGACTTGCCCTTCTGATCTGGAAGTGCTCAGGGGTCCTGAGGACAGTCCTACAAAACGTTCTCAGGACCCATCTTAGTTTAGTTCCCCCAGAAGCAGATCTTGAGTCAAGGACTGGGTGCACTTG